GCATGTGGAAGTGAAGTTGCCAAGTTTGTGGATAGGATCTATCGATGTGGTGGTTTCGCAAGCATTGCAAGAGACAGAAGGTCGATGTCCAGCCGAGCGAGCATGCACCACCGTGGGGGGAGTGGCAACGTGGCCCACCCCATGCCGCAGCTCCCGCAGCTCCCGCTCACGGAGGAAGATATCCAGCAGCACCTCAAACTGGCTGAGAAGATCGGCGACGAGACTTCGGCAGCTCAGTACAACACATGGCTGGCTGCCAAGAAGACGAAGTCACCACTCACCAAGCTCCTGGAGAAGCAAGCAGGAGAAGCACGACAGCGAGTCAAGATCCTGGAGCGACGCCTGCAGCAGGAGATGTATGACGTGGCTCGCGCCAGGAAGTGGCTCGCGGAGTGTGAGGCCGCCACCGAGAAGCTCAGCCTGGGTCTCGCGGAGGCGGACAGCGAGCACAAGCAGTTAGTGGATCGACTGCATCGTGATGTGGTTGCTCCGCCTGCTCCTGTGCCCGCACGAGGGCATTTGCGTTTACGAGATATCCTTGACGGCAAGGAAGGTGCCATCACCATCGACTGAGGAGAAGGTATCCTGGGGTTGGACAGCCATGCGCATGCGCCCTCGCCCGACGACGTTGCCCAGTTCGAGAAGCGCAGGCTCGAGCCCGAGTCCAGCGTCGCGGCCATCACCAGGCAGCTGACCATCCAGGGCCAGGAGTCCGCTGCTAAGCTCAAGGCGCCCCACCGCGAGCACGCGGGGCGTCTACACTAGAAAAATATTTCACGAATCTGAGAGGGTCGACTACACGCAAGAGTGACCCCGGGTCAGAGTGACCTTTGGTGCGCGGTTAATTGGAGGCCGCAGGGGGACCAAGCACGAGCGCGCAAGACGCTAATACCGCGATCGGGGGGCCCCCTTGGGCCCGCACCAAAGGTCAATCCGGCAAAAGGTCATTCTTACGTGTAGTCGACAGGGGGCCACCTGGGAAAGCGGCGAATGGTTCCCAGGGCAGCGCGGCAGCCGCGGCGGCAGCCGCGGCAGCTGCCGCGCCCGTGCCTGCCGAGCCCGCCGACGGAGACAAAGGCCGACGAGCAGAACGCGGCCTCCGCTTCGTCGGCTTCCCGGGACGGCGCCCCCAAGCCCGCCGACGCACGCCAGAGAGCCCAAGAGGTGCTCAAGCACGGGTCTTCCGAGTCGCCCACTCCTGAGCGTTCTAACGCTTCTCCCCCCCCCCGATGCCTGAGCCCGCGGACGACAAGGTTTCGGGGGGGTGGCTCCTTCCTTTAAGCTTTCTCCTACTATAGCGCGGCTGTGCCACCTTCCCGCCCCCGAGGGACCAGCCCTGGATTTTGGCAGTTGTCTCTGGTCCTGGGCCCCAGCTTGCTTGCTCGGTTTCCGACGATTTTGAGCCGATAGTTGAGACGGCAAACTGCGCCAGGTGGAACGCGGCGAAGGCCTGGCTGAGTCGGTCCACGGCTCATGTCGCTTCTGCTCAAGAACTGTACCTGGTGGGCGACCAGGCGGGAGAGGCTTCTCAACGGGAACTGCGTTCGGGGTGGAAGTCCAGGATCATGCCAGCAGGGCGCGTCTGGGGGAGTCGGCATAGTCGTCAGGAACTTCTTGGGCTGCCATGGCGTGTCCGACAAGGAGGGGTCCATGTTGGTCCCGCGTCGGGCTGTGTCGACGGTTGTTCATAGATCGCAGGCGGAGTCTCGCCGTTGGTTGTCTCTGCGTATCTGCTGGACTTGGAGGGCCTCTCGGAGTTCAACCTGGGTCTTGTGCAAAATCGGAGCTGCTCTGCCCGCGTATCCTGGACCTCTCATTTCGGGGGCAGATTTCCAGATGGAGCCAGTGGAACTGGCTGCCTGCGACCTGGCGTCGGTTTTGTCCGCCAACCTCGCGGTACGTGAGTCCGTCAGAACTTGCACGTGCGCTTGCGTGAAGGGCGTGCGCAAGTTAGATCCCCCCTTGCGCCCAGCAGGCTGTCGCAGGCGGTCAGCTCGATCAGGCCGTGCCTCGAGGCGGCGACCAGGCCCCGAACGCGAGCCCGGATGTGTTCTTCTCCCGCAGTTGGCCGGCCTGCAGGCCTTGGGGTTTGCGAATCCGCCGAAGTTCCCAGTCGAGCCTGCCATTGGACCCCCCCCCCCGCCCCCCGCTCCCAAGGACTGGAGCGAGGCGCTCGACTGCGCCGCCTACGGTTTGGGGCTGGTGCGTCGGAAGGTCCCCAGGCAGCGTTTGCCGCGGCACCTCAACACCCTGTGCCGTCTGTGGGCAGACAGGCCGTGGTCGCTACCCGTCTTAAGTGCCCGCGGCAGGCTCCCCAAGCTTGCTTGGCGCTCAGTGGTCGGCAAGGGTCGGAGAGTTGGCCATCGGCCCGACCTGTGCGGCGCGAGGTGCTTGGAGAGCACTTTCAGGATCTGTTGCGCCAGCCTGGCGTCCAGCATGCAGGGGGCCGCCGTCGAGCCAGGCCGCTTTCTTCTCGAACCTCCTGTCGAAGTCGCGGTCTGCAAAGGGGTGACACTGCCGTCCCTGGGGACGCGTTCATGAACGGAGGCTGTCAGCGTCATATTGTCAGGGAGCTGTCTCGGGCAAGCTGGGGGCTTGCAGCCCGCGGAGACGACGATCGCAAAGATTTCAATGTTTTCGGGCCTCTGCGGGCCCCCCCTCCCTCGGGCGACCCCGAGCTGGGGAGTTCCGGGCCCTGGAGCCCCCCCCCTTTGTGCCTGGCTGGGCCCGCGGTTGGCTTTTCGGACTGCCGCGGCGTGGTCCGCGCGCGCCACGGGCCCCGAGGCCTCAAGCTGGCCCTCAAGAGACCTTATGCTGGACTCATGTTTTCTAGTTCCTTTCGGCGGTGAACGGATCCGTCCGCAAGATCAAGGAGCACGCTGCTGAGTCAGAGGGGTTGTCGGCCAGAAGAGAGCTTATCAAGGCTGGCAACGGCGCTGCAGGCGAAGCCGTGAAGGCTGGCCTCGCCGCGCACCCTCAGCCCTCGGAGGCGTGCCAGAGGCTTTTGGCCCACTGCATCCACGTGGCCATGGCGGTCTGCCTGTTGGCTGCCCGTCTAGACCCCAGTGGTGTCGAGCTGGCCAAAGCTACCATCGAAGGAGGGGGCGGCCGCGGCTAACGCCGATCTGCATGCGTGGAAGTGGTGCCGCTCCTACTGGAGGTGCAAGAATGTCTGCGCACGAGGAGGCAAGGGAAGTTTAAGTATGGCATTTCGCCGAAGCTCGACGAGTCGGGCTGATCTGGCGTGATTCCAGAATATGTGGAGCGTGGTCGCCAGAGGCCACAGACTACTGTCGTTCCAGTGCAGCAATGACTCCTCGCTTTTTGTGTGCGTTGGCTGCAAGGCCGTGTCTACCCTTGGGCCCGTGGCGCTCGTCGTTCCAAGGGGTTTCGGTGGATGTGGCGCCCGAAATTCTGGAAGGTGTCGCGAGCGAGGGATCGCACACGGAGGCTGGCGGCCACTCTCAGCCTCGACTACCCAGTGCGACACCCCATTGCGACACCTCTGTGCTGCAAGATCCAGTCGTCGCCACTCCGTCGTTGCAGTCGTGCAGCAGGGGTGGTAGACCGTGCATGGCGTTGCGGGACACAGTTCGCGCGCCACCAATGACCCCCCGTCCCAGCGGAACGATCCAGTCGTCGTTGCGTCGTGCACACACACACACACACACACCCTCGATGGGGCACCGCTGGGACAGGGGATGCAGTGCCTTGCCTTGTCCATGCCACCGTTCTCCCAACGAGGAGGAGAGGCCAGGGCCATCCATCGTGCAAGTCATTTCCCCCCCTCCCAAGGCAGAGGGGGGGACCCCGAGCAGGCAGGAGGTGAGGGACAGTCCTCATCCTCATCAAGAGTCCGCGGATGCTATCCCTGAAGATGCCATCTCGGTTTTTGTCCCTGCGCCGCTGGTCGGCGCCTTCCTTGAGCTTCCTGGTTGCAAAGTCGACAACTGTCTACGGTCTCGCGGCCTCTCTGGCCGCTCTCCCTGGTGCGGATCTCTCGCCAGGGTAAGGTGCGCGTGAAACAAATCCTGGCCTCCTCCTCCTCCTCCTCCTCCTCCTCCTCCCTCTCCTACCGTTGGTAGCGGTGGCGGAGGAGGAGGAAGAGGAGGAGCATCCTTCGGCTACACTGAAGGGGCCCAAGGACACACAAACATAATTAGACGCAAACCCCAGGATGCCCCATGTTTTCCCATATGTTCTGTACGTTCATATTCCCCCATTTTCCATAGTTTCCATATTTTCCTTGGGATCGACGGTTAATTGTGTCTATGTTACTCTCCTCCTGATACACGCAGGAGTGACCCTAGGCAAGAGTGACCTGTAGTGCTCGGCCAATGGGGGCCCTTTGGGGACACCACCAGGCGCGCAAGCCGGTGCTATCGCCTCGCATTCGACGATCGGGAGGCCTCATTGGGCCCGCACCAGAAATCACTCAAGCGAAAGGTGACTCGTACGTGTAGGCGGATCCATCAAAACCATGGGACCCCCCACCGGCCGAACTGAAGAACACTCGAAGGTACCCCCCCCCAGGATGCACAAAAGCGTTCAACAGACACACAGAACCGGAGCGAGGCGGGGGCTGGAAGAGGGCCCAGACCTCCGACGCAGAGATTCGACCCAGCGCGTAGGCCCCAAGGCTCGTTGCACCCCTTCCTCGGGCACAGCTCTTCATCGCAGGGTGGTTGTCAGACGTGCCCATGGCCTGGAATCGTCCCGACGATGCCGAAGACTGGAAACGAGCAAGCGAGCTCAGAACGCCGAGGCCCCTGCTGAGGGACTAGTGGGGTGCGCGGTCTTTTTCGAAGGCCGCCCCACCGCGGATTACAACCCCCAATTCCACCCCCGCCTCCGCCTCCCCCTCCTCGCCCTCGCATCCCCCCCTCGCCGAACAAGCGAAACCAGAACGCCGAGGCCCCTGTTCAGCGAATGGGCCACACGACACAGTGAGACGCGCAGTCTTCTTCGAAGACTGCGCCACCGGGGCCGCAACCCGCCCATCACACCTCCGCCTCACACTCCTGGCCGGCGCCCTCCTCCACTGGCCCTGGCCCTCCTCACCCTCGCCCTCCCACCTTCTCGCTCTCGCCCTCCCCCGCCTCCCCATCCTTTCCACCGCGCCACCTGGGGCCGCAACCCGCCCAGTCCACCTCCGCCTCAATTCTCCTGGCCGCTGCCGCGCCCTCGACCACCTCACCCGCCTCGCCCTCGCCCCCCCCTCCCCGCCGAGCGCTAACATAAGCGCAGTTGAGCAGGGCCCGACCGTCCTGTCATTCCCGCAGGCATACCACTACATCTTCTTCGAACGCACAGATGTTATAGCAACAAAGGCAGTGCTCTTACGGCATAACACCGATGCATGACAACAAGACGGTCTTCGCCAGAACTGTTACGGGAACGTCTCGTGCAAATCACAGCATTTTATCTAAATGCTCTCTGGTGGGCCTGTTGACAAGCCAGGGCGCCTCGCCACTGCTTAACGCTGGCGCCACCCCTCCAGTCGCCACGGGACCTGGGCCCGGAGAAGGCCGGGGGCTGGCCCGGCTCCTGGAGCCAGTTGCCCTCCTCCATGACCTGAAAGGGAGCGGTGTGGGGGGACCGGCTCGGGCGGCGACGCCGACGACGACGACGGCGACGACGGCGTCGACGACGACGAGGACGACGACGGCGACGACGACGACGAGGACGACGACAGCATCGTGTTAACCGATCTCTTTCCCCACTCGCGCGCCCTGGGCCACACTGGCCAAGTTGCCCCCCTCCTATAAGGAGATCAGCTGTTCCCTTCGGGTTTGGAGGGGTCAACTGGCGGGGGGCACGGTGGGGCTGAGAGACCATGTCCAAGTGGGGATGGGGATCTGTCAAAAATACCGAAGCTTGCGGATGGATCGGCGATAGGGCCTCGATAGCGAAACCGATCGCTCCTGAGCCGGTTGGGGCACCCAGGCCCCTGGTGGCGATGAGTGGGCGATGCGGGATCGAAGCGTTGCCCCAACCCCTGGGCCAGTCCCCCCCTCACGCTTCCCCTGATGACCCTCGCCGTCCACTCCCCGACGTCGCCGCCAGCCGTCTTCTCGGAGATGATCAGGATGTTCGACGCGTCCTGTCCCGAGGGAATGGAGCGGGGCATGCTGCACGACCGCGGGCGAGAGGGCCCATGGGCGCTGGGCTCGAGGAGCGGCAGTGGCTCAATGGGGGCCGCCCCAAGGGTCCCTGCAGCAGAGGCCCCCCCCCCAGGGTCACTAAAGTCAATCTGCAGCATACGCATACGATAGGACATCTTGCGGCACGAAATCTTGGGCACAACCTTCGTCGGTCTCTGAGGTCCCGCGGTGCCCACGGAGCGTATGTGGGTCCCTGGGGCCATCGGGGGATGATACTTTTCTGCGGGCAGTGCTTGCAGGCCGGTTTTCTCATTTAATGTGCCTACGGCGCCACCGTCAGCAGCGCCAAAGAAGGCACGACACGCGCTTCTGGCCCCGAATATACACGTCGTTCATTTCTAATCGTGCTCGGTTCTTACTGTACTCGTTTCTAATTGTTCCTGGCCCACTAGTGGCCAGGAAGAGGCCCAGGATAGAAACAATTAGAAATGACAGGATCTTGGCCCCCCAGAGAGCCAAAGAACTTTCGAAGAATTAGACATGAACCATGTGAACGCCTTGGAGCAAGAGGAGCACCGGAGGAACAACCACGGGAGGACCCGAGGAGCAGCGAGCCTCTGCGGAACCCGAGCCACTCCTCATGTCAGCGGCTCGGCTGGAGCAGGACAGCAGCGCTCGCCCCAGGGAGAAGGTGTGGTGGCCGCGGCCGGGGCCGAGAGGGGAGAAGAAGCTCCCTTCCTCCGTCCCCGACGGCGTGGCGGCGACTGTGGCCCGAAAAGCTGGCGGAGACTGAGCGCCGCGGCCGTGCCCGCGCTCGTGCGTCCTTTCCCCTCTCCCACCCCCTCCCCCTCGCCTCCCCTTCCTTCGCCGCGGCCGAGCGCCAGCGCCAGACCGCGTTTTTTTGAGCTCTGCATTTGCCTCCTTCCTCGGCCTCCAGCGCCTACTCTTGCTGTTTCAGCCCCCTCCTGCCACATGAGCAAGAGGAGGAGGAGGAACGTGAGATGGATAGTACATACGAGGGTGAGGAGGTGCAGAAAGGCGAGGGGATTGAATGAACGACGCAGGTGGAGGAGGATATTGATGACAGCAGGGTAATATGGCGGACGTGAGGGTGCGCAGTGGAGGCAGATGAGCAATGGAAGGCGCATAATGATTTCGCACTGACGGCGAAACGATTAATCATATACCATACGTGGTGGGAGAGACCAAAAGGGGAGACAATAATCAAGATGCGTCGAAACATGCAACCCATGTCGGGTCCCAGCCTTGAAAACGGCTGGGGCGCAAGATGGGTCGCCTTTTTCCTCAAAACCTCTGGAAGAGGAGAGAAAAAGAAGGTCACGCGAGAAGGAAAGAGAAGCACAAGAAGAGGTCGGGGGGGTTGAGGAGGACAGGTGGGGGCCAGCACGAGGACAGCGCAGGGGGGGGGGGGGGGGCGAATGAGTGGGCGAGGAGGGCGTGGAAGAATCGATCGATCGAGCTGTTGGGCCGAGTTCTGGGCTACTTCGCGTCGACTAGAGCTTGGCAGCGGTTGAAAACAAAGGACTAACCGCATCGGTGCTTACAACCAAATGGCGTTCAAAACGAACAACGAAACAAAGCCTGACGTTTTCAACTAGCCTAGGGCACCGAACATCGAAAAGAGGCGTTCAAAACGAAAACGAACAACGAAACTAAACAAGCACGAAACACGACACGAATGACCAAACACAGACCCAAACGTTGTGGTCTGTCTTGGCTGTAAGCCCGTGCGGCCTAGTGTAAGCCGGTCCGTCTGGGGAGGGTCGCTCGCGCTACTTGTCGCTCTGGCCGGCAGGGAAAGCGGGGGAGGAGAGGGGGGACCAGATTTCCAACGGATTGTTTTACCCCACATCCAAAATGGTGTTCTTGTTTTCTTTGGACACCCCGCGCAGGAACAAACAGGAGCATACACTCACTCACACTCACACTCACTCACGCACAGACCATTTTGATCACCTTGACAATCACTTGATCGCACATGCACTCATCCACCCACTCATAATCTGCATCATCCTCATCATCATCACCCATTCACTCATTCACTCACTCAGTCACTCACCCACTCATTCGCTAGCTTGGGTGTGGGGGAAGTATCAGGCAGAAGCCTCGTCTGTGTGTATTGCGAGGAGATCTCAGGCGGCAGCACTCTCCCTATGGGGCCCGCACTTCATTTTTTCAAATCCGAACGGGTCATCCCCGAACCTGGAAATGTCGTCACTTTGGGGCTCCTGAGGCCTGAATTTGGAGCAAGTATCAGGCGGGAGGCTCGTCTGTGAGCGAATTCCGGCGAAGGCTCGGGCGGGAGCCTTCGCCCGATGGGGCCCGCACTTCATATCTTTTTCTTTTTCATCCGAGCGGGTCATCCTCAACCTTGTAACTGTCCTCACTTTGGGGCTCCTAAGGCCTGAATATGGGGGAAGTATCAGGCGGGAGCCTGGTCTGTGAGCGGACTGTGAGGAAATATCAGGCGGGTACCCTTTTCCCTATGGGGCCCGCACTTCATGTTTTTAATCCGGGCGGGTCATCCTCGAACCTGTAACTGTCGTCATTATTGGGCTCCTGACGCCTAAGAATGGGGCAAGTATGAGGCGGGAGACTCGTCTGTGAGTGAGTGGTGAGGAAATCTCAAACGGGAGCCCCCTTCCTATGGGGTTCGCGCATTTTTTTTTTTTTTTTTTTTTTTTTAAATTATCCGAGCGGATCATCCTCGAACCTGTAACCGTCGTCCCTCTTGGGTTCCTGAAGCTTCAATATGGGGGACGGGAGGCTCGTCGGTGAGTGAACTGTGAGGAAGTCTCAGGCGAGAGCCACCCCCCCGTTTATGGGGCCCGCAATATAACCTTGTGCTGCCGAGATTCATCCCACAGGGAAAATAAAGTTCGGGGTCGCGGGGGGGTTATACATGTTGCCAACCGGAGGCCAGCATGTGGGAGGAGAAAGAGATGATGTTAAGAGGACCGAAAACCGATGATCGAGGATCAAAAATCGAAGTCCGAGGATCGAGGATCGAGATCCCAGAAATAGAAAAAGATAAACAGACAGAAGGAGAGAGGTGGAGGAGGATGAGGATGAGGAGGAGGAGAAACGCAAAAGTTCCAAACCTATTACATTTGAGTTGTAAACAAACAATGGAAATTCAGATTTCCATCTGCTCGTGTAGGGTAGCTCACGTGCCTCGGTTTCCGTGGATAGTAAACCACAACGATAACAACAATCAGGGGGGCAGGGGGGAGGAAACGGAAAGAGAAAGAGAAGCGCAGACATAATATATATATATATACAGAGAGAGAGAGAGAGAGAGAGAGAGAGAGAAAGAGAGAGAGAGAGAGAGAAAGAGAGAGAAAGAAAACGCTGTTGGTTTCGCTTGAGACATCCTCGACAACGTCTTCGCTTCGTTTGATGTTGCTATCTCAACATAAGAAGGACATGAACCTCGATGGTGGACTTTTCACAATGATAGAAAATGTTCGGCCTCCGCGCCCCGCGCCCCTGACCAAACTCTTCTTGGTCGTGGATAATCAACTCTAGCGTGGAAAGGGGGGTCCTTAAAAAATCTTCGGCACAAGGTTGCGTATCTATATATATATATATATATATAGGACCCGAGCGGGTCATCCTCAACCCTTGAACTGTCGTCACTTGGGGGCTCCCGAGGCCTGAGTATGGAGGAAGCATCAGGCGGGGAGCCTCGTCTGTGAGTGGACTGTGAGGAAGTCTCAGGCGGGACCCCCTCCCTATGGGGCCCGCATTCATCGTTTTGAATCCGAGCGGGTCATCCTCAACCCTGTAAATGTCGTCACTTGGGGTTCCCCTGGCATGAATATGGAGGAAGTATCAAGCGGGGAGCCTCGTCTGTAAGTAAAATGTGAGGAAGTCTCAAGCGGGAGCCCCCTTCCTATGGGGCCCAAGCTTCGCGTTTTCAATCCAAGCGGGCCATGCTCAACCCTGTAACTGTCGTCACTTTGGGGTTCCCAATGCCTGAATATGGAAAAATATCTGGCGGGGAGCTTCGTCTGTGAGTGAACTGTGAGGAAGTCTCAAGCGGGAGCCCCTTATGCGCTCCTCAGAGGGCGATTCGCCCGACCCATCAGGCGAGGAGGAAGAAGAAGAAGCAGAAAAAAAACAAAAAAAAAAAAAACAAGAAAAAGAAGAAGAAGAAGAAGAAGAAAAAGAAGAAGAATAAGAAGAAGAAGAACAGGAGGTGAGGGCGACGACGGCGGCCGGGCGCAGGGGGGAATCCTTACGTCCGGGCCGGGGGGTGGTAACCCATCCTCGGTCGAAGCAGGGGCAGGGGAAACCCTTTTCTCCGGGCTGGCGGTGGTAACCCATCGTCAACCACATGGGGCAAGGGGGAACCCTTGTCTCTGGGCTGGCGGTGGTAACCCATCGTCAGCCGAATCAGACGCAGGGGGGAACCCTTGCGTTCGGGCCGGGGGTGGTAACCCATCTTCAGCCGAATCGGGCTCGCCGCAGAGATTGGCTTTGTGCTGCCTCCCGCCTGAGCGCGGCCGTGACTAGCTCGGTGCCTGCGGGGTTGTCCCGGCTTGACCCCGCGCCACAGCGGCTCGCGCGGTTGCCCCAACGGCCTGGCCCGCGGGGTTGTCCCAACGGCCGCGCGACGCGGCCATTCGAGAATGCGCCCGCGCTGGCCGAGGCGGCGACGGCGTCGAGGAACATCGGCGCGCGCGCGTTCTTGCAATCATCAGGAAAGGAGGTGGTGGGTTACGCAACAAATAGCAGGAGGGCGAGGCAAGGGCAACGCAGGGAGCGGGTGAGGGCCCCGCGCCAGGGCGAGAATGATAATGACGCAGAGAAGACAATAAAGGCGCACCACTAATCGCGAGGACGACAGTGAAGGTTGTTTCCAGATTAGCCGAAAGGATTTTCATGAGGGGTCTTTCCGTCGATATAATTATTGTTTTCCCCCTCCCCCTGGGGGAAGGAGGCAAAACACCCTCGCCGATAGGAAAAAACATCGGGCTGTCTAGCTGTGATCTCTTCGACTAGGGGTGTCGTTCGCGCGACTTGGCGCTCTGACCGGCAGGGAAGGCGGGGGAGGAGAGGGGGGGACCTGACTTCTGACGGACTATTTCCACCCCCCCGGGCCCTGGGGGGGAGAACAAAAAAGACTGACGCCGGTATGAAAAAGCGTCGGGGAGGCGGGCGGGGCGACGTCTCTTCCTGTCGGCGGGGGCGGTGTTCGAGCCCCGTGGGCCACCAGACAACTGTCCTGGATAAAGAAGCGGCAGCAGTGACGGGGCGCACACATCTGGGCAACTTGGAAAATCATCTTCTGCCGAGCAAGGGGGGATGGAGAGGACTATGATGTACGGCGATGGGCGATTCTTCATTTCTCCATGCTATACGCGTGAAGCTGCACTTCACCTGCGACGACTTGGGAGGACGAAGACCATGACGAGGACAACTATACACGGACATAGCGAGTTGGTCTCGCAATGCGCAGGGAAAGGGATGGATCATGAGCGGGTTTGCAATGGTCGTGGTCATCGTCTTGGTTGACGTGGTCGTCGTCTTGGACGACGACGACGTCGTCGTGGTCGGTCGTGGTCGTGGTGATTTTGGTCGCGGTCGTGGCCGTGGAGAACTTCGTCGTCGTCGTGGTCGGGCTCGTGGTCGTTATCACGGGGGGCCGTGGGTCCTCGAGCACCTCGACGACGGGGCAGATGTGCCTCTGCCTGAGGCCCTGCAGCTTCCTGAGCCTGGGCAGGACGTAAGAGGGATGCAGGATGATGATGATGGGTCCAGGTGTGCATGAATCAGGATGCGCCCTCCGGCCAGACGAGGGCAGGAGGGTGCCAAGACCAAAGATCCGACGTCTTGACATTTTGAGCGCGGGGTACCCTGGGACCCCCGACTCTTTCCCTTGCACCGGCGTTTCATCCTGAGCCGTTGCTGGACAATCCCGGGACCCAGCGAGGGCCCTCGGAGGCCGAAAAAGAAGGACACCAAATTCCTGAATTGTCCAAGACGTCGGACGTCTGGGAGTTCGGATGAGGGTCAATCGGGCATGGAGGATGGATCGGGCGCCGCGCCCTCGGCCTGCACGCGAACGAACTCCTCGCACCCTTGGAGGGGCGTCCGACGTGTTCCTCCTTCCGTTTGGGTTGTTGGTTCCTTGGGTGCCTACTCTCGGGCGTTGGCAGAACTGGGTTTAGTGGGACCTGGTTTAGCGATGTGTGCAGGGGGACGCCCCCCCCGCCCCTTTCCACTAACCGGAACTGCCATCACCGGAAAAAGCACCAGCTACGGCAGACCTGGTTCAGTGATTCTGGCCAATTCACTAGCTCCGGGGCCCTACCACTAACCAGGTCCCCTTACCTGGGGTCCTGGCCATACCCGATACTCTCTTGGGGCCGCCCTGGAGATACCGACACCTTCCATTTGGACCTCCAGGGGACCTCCGGCTCGGATGTCGTGGTAATGGCGAGCTCCCCGCAGAACTCGGACTTAGAACTCGAACTCGGCCCCAGGCCTTCGTCGGAGCTCGAACCACGAGCGCGCTCACACCCCCAGCGGAGGGGGGGCAACGAGACGGAGCCTCGCACAGGCACGCGGGCCCCAGAAGGCAGGCGCACCTGTGGGATTTCCTCGCGCCTCGGGGTGCTCTCCAGCCGCTGCGCCTCGTAGAGGGGCGCTCCGAGGAGGCTCGGGCCGCACCGAGCGGCCGCCCCGAGACCCGAGGCTGTGGCCCGACGTCCACGCCCCCACCAGGCGAAGAGCGATACAACATACACTGTTCCGTCGACGGGGGCGCCGGTCCCAGGGCGGCTGGAAAATTCATACCCTGGCGTGCCACCGTATGGGTACACATTCTCCGCACACCCTGGGAAAAAGCGCCCGCGAAGACGAATAGGTCTATCCTATACCGCGCTTCGCCCGCAAAGTGCGCGGCCGGGGCGCGGCGCCGGGCAGCCAGAAGCGGCCAGGCGCGGGCGCGCGCGCGCGGCGCCGAGGCCAGGGATGCGCGGCCAGGATTTGGTCGGGCATGTCCAACTACAGGCGGACATGGGACGAAAAATAAAAAATACTCCAAACACATTCGAACATAATCCAAAAATGCTCAAAAATCGTACCCATACCATTTTTGACTATTTTTGAATATTCCTCCTGTAGAGGGACCTGCCCGACTGAAGGCCAGGACGCGGCCAGGAACGGCCAGGCGCGGGCGCGCGCGCATGCGCAAACCGCGGTCCCGGCGCATGTGCAAACCGCGCGCCCTGGGAGCCTCACCATCGGCCCTTGGTGTCCGCTCTGGACTTTCGGCCCCCCGACCTTCGATTATGGATCCTCGGTCCTCGACTCTCGGTCCTCCATCCTTCCCCCCGTCGTCGTCCTGGAGGAGGAGGAGGAGGAAGAGGAGGAGGACGACGAAGAGCAGGGGGAGGCAGAGGACGAGGAGGGACGACGACTGGGGAGGGAGAGAAGAGGACTGTAGGGCAGCGAGGGGCAGCGACCGCAGCCGTCCGATGGCTGCCGGACGCCCAACTACCTCGGGCAGCGCAACTAGTTGATGTCCACGGCGGCGCGCAGCCGTCGAGCGACGGACGCTCGCGGAACGCTGACAACGTGATGTTGATCGTGTCTGCTTGCAGTTGAATGTTCCCCGCTACTGCGGTGCCGCTCGGCCATGCGGTCCAAGCGCATCCCGCGCCCGCGGCTATGCAGATGTTGGGCGGGCGGGCGCTCTCGACGTCGGCGCTGCTCGCCAAGGCGAGGGCGGGGCACACGAGGGACTGGAGCCTCTCCGGGGGGGGGCCTCGGATCTGGGCGAGGCCGGCGCGTTCCCCCGAAACGCCGACCACGCCATCCCCTGTGCGATTCCAATCGGCCGACATTCCTCGGCCAGCGTGCACGCGTCCATTTTTCCGCCGTGGCAGGCAAGCTGCGCAGGAGGTCGTGGCACCCCTCTGTGACACGCGCGCTCCCAGTGAAATTGTTTACGGTGGGATCCCACACACCGAGAGAATGAGCAGCTGGGCCAAAGAAACAGGAGAGGAGGCGGGGAGGGAGAGCTGGAACATGCGCCCACGAGACGGCAGCCCTCACGCCTTCGTGGCCTCGGTACGCTGCCAGCTCCTTCTGGCACGGCACTGCGCAGGCGAACACGCAAGAAGAAACAGAGAGTAGAGATCCCGCGCGCGCCCGGAGGGTTCCATGAGGGATGGAGAAGCAAGTCCGCCCACCCTGCCCCTCAAAACGCAAGAACACCGAAGAGTAGCTGTCTGGAGGATGTGGGGGAGTGGGAGAGGGAACGACAGCGACGTCGACGACGGAAACGGCGGCGATAACGACAACGACGGCCGACACGACGGGGACGGCGCCGACAGCAACGGCGACGACGGCGACAACTGGCGCGGGCGCCTCGCCACCGCCTCCCCGGGCTGGCCGCGCAGTGCCACCCGCGGCACCGACTTGCAGAACCGGAGCGCCCCGGAGGCGCGTTCCTTGATGACCTCCAACGGGGGGGTAGTCCTACTCCTGGTCCTCCTCGTCCTCGTCGTCCTCGTCCTCCTCCTACTCGTCCTCCTCGCCCTCCTCCTGCTGCTCCTCTTGCTCCTCCTCCTTTTGGTACGTTCAACAAACCTCAAGTGAAAACCTGTGGAGCTTCTGACTTTGACTAACGAAATGTGCACTCGACTCGGCTCACAATGTACCTGGCGGGCGACGCGGAAAATGCAGGAACATAAAGCCGTGACGAGAATAGTTAAACAAGTAGGCGCCCGCCAGGTACCAGAGGTCGGCTCGGACCTTACTATGATAAGCCGCAACCACCCCACCTCCATGGTTGGTAAGGTGCAAGCAAAATAAATACGTGCGAAGAATGCCATGCAAGTAGATAGATGCGAAACTGAAATGTAGCACTCCTAAGGTTGCTGCCCAGGGTTTAAGGTTGACTCCAAACCGTAGGTACATCTTTCCCAAGTCCCCAGTACTGATCCACCTCCACCTCCAAACCCCTCGCAGCCTGGCGCAGCCTGTGATACAGACTTGCCCAAGTGTTTAGGCAACTGAGGCTGTAAGTCATTTGGCCTGCACGCAAGGTAAGCGTCGCTTCTGCAGGGTGGCACAACCGCAAGTGAGTGTGCGCTACAAAATTGTCGGGTGACTACCAAAGCTGGGTAGCGATGCGAGGCATGACAGAGCAAATACTGTGGAGGCCGTGCCTTTGGCGAAGTAAACCGTGTCATGGCTAGTGTCCCCCGTCTGAAGGTCAAAAGGCGTTGGAGATGAGTAGTGCTCCTCCCCCCCAACACACAGGTCCCAGCACCCCCCACCATAGTCAGAGTCAGGCAGGTCAGGCTGAGAAGTAGTCATGGCTGGAGTGGTGGCTGAGAGCGCGAGAAAGTGGCTTTGTGAAACCGCCCAAAGGGGTAAGAACAAATGAGCGTATATGTAGCAAAATACGAACAGAAGGGTAGCAATGTACAGACAAAAACTGGCCGCGGTATTGGTCCTCCTCCACCTCCTCAGCAGATAGGACCCAGCACATCCCCATCCATAGTCAGAGTCAGGCAGGTCAGCTGAGAATTGGCATGGCTGTCGTGGTGGCTGAGAGCGCGAAAAAGTGGCGATGTGGAACCGCCAAAGGAGCAATAACAAATGAACGTAGGCGTGAGAGAAAGGTGGCGACGTAGAACAAAAACGCGCATAGCTGCTGGTCGGTATGATGCTATTGACGCTATGCTGGCCAGGGGTATTGGCTGGACTGGAGGCTCCACCGTAACGGTTCGCGGAGAGGCGCGGGTGCAAAGCAACGCAAGCAACAACGACGGGAAATAGGTGAGAAAGCAGAGGCCGTGAGCAACCCAAAGGGAAGAAACCGATACCCTATGCGCCCAACGGATGCACAAGGCATCGGCTGTCCTAATCAGCCGGTAGGGTACGGCCCCTGGGGGGGAAGGGGTCCAAACACTCGCATGGTAAGGTTAGACGAACTGTTGAAACAAGGGGTAAGGAAGCTGGAGAAAGTGGAAAGGCGATGGCGACAGCAGGAATGGTCTGTAGCAGATGAATGTCAGGAGAAGCCTGCTGCTGCCAGGGGTACACGAGGCCTCGGTTGGGGCTTGTTTGGAGCTGCCTCGACGCCATTAAAACTTACCCTGCGACGTACCCAACCTTTTTTATACACGCGTCGCCTATACCCAGGACCATTCAATGCTGACTGGCATTCTGAAGGACCCGCACTGCGCAAGAAGAGCACTCATGAGTGGAATCAGAAGAGAGCATCGAGAAGAGGAACAGCAACCATACAAAATGGAAGCACAAGGGTGTTGAAATAAACACAAAAGCGGGGGCGGCGAGGGCTAGACCAGAATATCGGTTTAACTCAGCATCGGGCTGCGCTGAAAGAGGCAACTGCATGAGGTGCATAACGGGGGCGGAGACTCACCCAACATTGGAGACAAAAGGGCGCGACAGCGAACCCAAAGACAAGAACCCAAACATGCAAGCAACAGGTCGCGGTCTCGAGGATAAGCAGGACCACCCAATCACCGCGTGGGAGTTCCCTTCGCTGGACCTCCCAGGAGCCCACGAAAATGACGACAATTGCGCAAATCGCAAGCCCCCCGAGGGGCGGCGCGGTACCGAGGTGATCCGCGTGGGACGTACCTCCGCTGGGCCTCCCAAGAGCCCACGAGAGTGCCGACAATTGCGCAGATCGCAAGCCCCCAAGGGGCGGCGAAGTACCGAAGTGATGCGCGTGGGACGTCCCTCCGCTGGGCCTCCCAGCAGCCCACGTAAGTGGCGACCATTGCGCAGATCGCAAATCCCCCAAAAGGCGGCGGGGTACCCAGGTGATCCGCGTGGGACCTACCTCCGCTGGGCCTCCCAGGAGCCCACGAGAGTGGCGAGCCTTGCGCAGATCGCAAGCCCCCCCCAGGGGGCGGCGAGGTCCCGAGGTGAGCCGCGTGGGACGTACCTCCGCTGGGCCTCCCAGAAGCTTACAAACGTGGCGACAATTGCGCAGATCGCAAGCCCCCCAAGGGGCGGCGCGGTACCGAGGTGATCCGCGTGGGACGTACCTCCGCTGAGCCTCCCAGGAGCCCACGAAAGTGGCGACCATTGCGCAGATCGCAAATCCCCCAAAAGGCGGCGGGGTACCCAGGTGATCCGCGTGGGACGTACCTCCGATGGGCCTCCCAGCAGCCCACGAGAGTGGCGAGCCTTGCGCAGATCGCAAGCCCCCCATGGGGCGGCGAGGTCCCGAGGTGATCCGCGTGGGAAGTACCTCCGATGGGCCTCCCAGGAGCCCACGAAAGAGGCGACAATTGCGCAGATCGCAAGCCCCCCAGGGGGCGGCGAGATCCCGAGGTGATCCGCGTGGGACGTACCTCCGCTGGGCCTCCCAGAAGCTTACGAAAGTGGCGACCATTGCGCAGATCGCAAGCCCCCCCAGGGGGCGGCGAGGTCCCGAGGTGAGCAGCGTGGGACGTACCTCCGCTGGGCCTCCCAGGAGTCCACGAAAGTGGCGACCATTGCGCGGATCGCAAGCCCCACAAGGGGCGGCGAGGTACCGAAGTGATCCGCGTGGGACGTACCTCCGCTGGACCTCCCAGGAGCCCACGAAAGTGGCGACAATTGCGCGGATCGCAAGCCTCCCAGGGGGCGGCGAGATACCGAAGTGATCCGCGTGGGAAATGCCTCCGCTGGGCCTCCCAGGAGCCCACGAACGTGGCGACAGTTGCGCAGATCGCAAGCCCCCCAAAAGGCGGCGAGGTCCCGAGGTGATCCGCGTGGGACGTGCCTCCGCTGGGCCCCCTCAGGAGCCCACGAAAGTGGCGACAATTGCGCAAATCGCAAGCCCCCCAGGGGGCGGCGAGGTCCCGAGGTGATCCGCGTGGGAAGTACCTCCGCTGGGCTTCGTAGAGCTCTTCGGCATCGATGAGCTAGATGAATTCTGGCGCGGTGTGGAGCTAGTTGGCCCACCCGGCCCGGGCGGACAATGTGGCAGTCTGGGGTCGGTTGTTTGACGATTGTGAGAGATTTGACAATTCGTGTTGAGAATCCAGATCTTTATTCCCTGCAGTCGATCATTGCGCGTTTCATGGTGCAATTCTGAGGGCTGTAGCTGCAGCGCAGCTCTCGAAAATTAGGAGCAACCGTCGGCCGTCGGGATGCATTTTCCAGATGATAATTGCTGCGTGAACTTAACTCAAGCAGGTAGCAAGCTACACAGCTCCAGTATGTTTTGCACCTGTAGTAGGTTATGGCTCGTCGGGCTGTCGAATTCTCAGGTCCGTAGCTGAAGTATTACTATCAGAACACCTGGCGGAACCAACTTCGTATAGAAACCGAAACAAAACCATGTTTCGAGTTTTTAAACTGATATGCAAGCAGGCTTTCTCGTCGTATTCTGAGCACTACTTCGCGTGCCAAGAGCTCTACGAGGGCCCCGGCGGTAACCTGGTTGACGGTTTACCGCCGGCTCCGAGTTGCACAGATCGCAAGCCCCCCAAGGGGGCGGCGAGGTCCCGAGGTGATCCGCGTGGGACGTACCTCCGCTGGGCCTCCCAGGAGCCCACGAAAGTGGCGACAATTGCGCAGATCGCAAGCCACCCAGGGGGCGGCGAGATCCCGAGGTGATCCGCGTGGGACGTACCTCCGCTGGGCTTCCCAGCAGCCCACGAACGTGGCGACAATTGCGCAGATCGCAAGCCACTCAGGGGGCGGCGAGGTCCCGAGGTGATCCGCGTGGGACGTACCTCCGCTGGGCCTCCCAGCAGCCCACGAACGTGGCGACAATTGCGCGGATCGCAAGCCCCCTCAGGGGGCGGCGAGGTCCCGAGGTGATCCGCGCGGGACGTGCCTCTGCTGGACCTCCCAGGAGCCCACGAAAGTGTCGACAATTGCGCAGATCGCAAGCCACCCAGGGGGCGGCGAGATCCCGAGGTGATCCGCGTGGGACGTACCTCCGCTGGGCCTCGCAGCAGCCCACGAAAGTGGCGACAATTGCGCAGATCGCAAGCCACCCAGGGGGCGGCGAGGTCCCGAGGTGATCCGCGTGGGACGTACCTCCGCTGGGCCTCCCAGCAGCCCACGAACGTGGCGACAGTTGCGCAGATCGCAAGCCCCCCAGGGGGCGGCGAGGTACCGAGGTGATCCGCGCGAGACGTACCTCCGCTGGGCTTCCCAGGAGCCCACGAAAGTGGCGACAGTTGCGCAGATCGCAGCCCGACGGCACGAGAGAAGAGGAGAAGGGACTGCAGGAAACAGGAGTGAAGGAGGAGGGGGGGAGAGGGGAGGAGGAGGAAGGACGGGGCGACCACACGGCTCTATTCAAAATAGAGAACCCAACACAGGACGGTTAGGAAAAACATGCCAATGCGATGTCACACACATTTTCTATGATGTCCCTCGCCGGACCTTGTTGAGGATGTCCCTAGCAAAATCGCCATTTCCGGCAGTCATCAGGGCGCTCTCGGAGCCATATTGAAGTCCTCTTTAGGCCCTC